GTTTAGTTAAAATTTGAAGTATTTTAACAGCGAGGTCAAAATACTTCACGTCGTATTGTGAAGTTAAAATACTTCGCAATAATTTGTTAAGTAGTTTGCTTTGTATTGCGAAGTTCAAACACTCCGCAATACAAAGGGTTCTGATTGCGTGCAAGGACCGTGGTTTTTTCAAAGATGGGGCGACATTTGCAGTCCCACACGTGAATGTCAAAGTGCCCCGACACACCGGTGTACACTCTATAATAGTGCTCACAGAGTCTGTCATTCACACAGCGTCCCGTCTGGCCCACATGCATTCTGTCACACGTCAGTGAAATGAAGGACACGATGCACAGAATCAATTGAACTAACTTTCGCTAATGATCTCTATTAAAGCCTCTTTTTTCTGCCATTCAAGAAGCCGAGTTGCACAGGCCAGAAAGCTTCTCAGAGGCGCGGGAAGCGTGTAAATTTCTTGTACAATGAGAAGCTTTCTTCTATAGGTGCTGTAAGGTGCTGCAAGTAGCGCCAATCAGTCGTGTAGAACTTCTCGGGACGGGATCCGGCAGTCTGAATTTGCAACTAGAAAATCTCACAGATGTGGTCTTGAAGCCTTCACTGCGACGCACCACACACACACACAAAAAACTTCGATAGAGGTGAGTGATATCACTAATCTCATCAAACGACAGCAACAAAACGTCATGCATCATACAGAACTTGTGACAGACGTTTGAGACTGTATTACCACCAATGAAAACTAGTAGAACCAGATCTTTCTGAAAAAACCTCCACATTCTTTCACTACTGGTTTTTGTTTTATAAATGAGCATGCGGAAAAAATAGTAGGATCTGTGTGGACATGAAGATTGAGAATTTGTGCCACTATCTCGGTGGTGTAGTAGGAAGGGGTATGATATGCACCTTCTACTTGAACCACCAGCTTGTTGGCATCACTGGAAAATGATTTGTAGTCGGTTTTCCATGAAAACACTGTTGAATGTGGGGATGCTGCTACGCTTTACCTACCAATGTTGCTCCCTTTGCTCTTAGATCTCGCTTGAACTAGCCAACAATGCCTTGCACCGACTGCGAACGCTTACCTTTGTTGCCTTTTTCGAAAGCTATGCCAAAGAGTTGTACAGTGTGTTCGCACGTGGTCGTACTACGCCGACTCGGACGCCTCGAAGCCAACGCAAGCGGAGTTTGCGCTCGCTCGAGCGATCGGGCCCTGTGGTCACCGATCATGAGAGCACACAGCTAGTCACGAGGGCAAATTTTTGTCAGCGGTTGGTCACCGTAAACTCTTTTGCCGGCTAATACGTGCTCACGGCCCCCCTTGTGTTGTACTTTCACCCGTCGCGTGGATAAGGCTCTCTCACTTTCCCACCGTTTTTGCAGCGGCCAATGTACTAAGTATTTTGTGCTGCCGCAGGCAATGACGTGTTGCGTCTTGTTTGGGGGCAGTACTGTGTACTTGCAGTGTTGCTCTCAGTGTCTTAGTTGTCCGAACGCGCGTGTACAATGACGTAAGTCACGCGAGGTGATGGTGAACGTGACCCTATCGCTCACTAAGATGGAACCCATGCTAGTTGCCATGCCCTTTTGGGTACATGTACACTACAAGTTTTAAAGAATATCAGCTTCTTCCTGGTCATACTGGTGAATGTATGAACTTGTAAATATTGTAACAGGGAAGAAAAGACATGCGTAAAATACATTTGCGAGCAAGTTTGTGCAACGCTGCTTGTCCCTTTCAGGTGTGTATTCAGCCCGTGGCATTACTAGCCGCTGCCAGAAGCACCGTTCAGGAGTGATTTATTCCATGGGAGTGAGTAGTATCGTTTAGGTTTTGCGATGTGCCCTATATTGGTAGGGACTGAAGCTCCTGCTGACGTGGGATGAATGGGAGTAATCTCATGGGTAACGCTGATGACCTTCCGTATGACTCTGTAGAGGCCGACGTAACGGGACTTGAGTTTTTTCGCAGAGACCGACACGACATGCACATCAAGACCACGTGAAATATTGCACGTAGTGGTGCCGGCAACAGCACACTTTTGGTCAACCTGTGAGGCAGAAAAACGATCTGGCGCGATTTGGCGGTGGTTGTCAGCACGGGCCAGAGCATTACCATCACAGGCAGTCGATGAGATGGCGTCAGAATGAAGCATAATGTCCATGGGTAAAGGCGGGTCATAGCCAAACAGTAGGTAAAAAATGAAAATCTAGCTGTGCCATGACATCAAGCGTTGTATGCGAATGTAATGAAAGGTAAGTAGATGACTCTATTTTTGTTATCCTTAAAGACGTACATCGCTATCACATTCGTCAGTGTATGGTTGGGACGTCCGTTGAGGCCGTTGGCTTGTGGGTGGTGTGCTGCAGTAAACTTTGGTGGTTGGTGCAGGATCGCAGGAGGTCGTCGACTACTTTAGATAAAAAAGAGTGGCCGTGGTCAGTGATCAAGTGACGAGGAGCACCATAATGCAGAATGAGCGATGAAAAATCATTTGGGCTGCATCAGTAGCCCAGCTGGTGGGGAGGGCTCGTGCAACGGTATACCACATTGCGTAGTCGGTAGCGATGGCAATCTACTAATTACCGACGACTAACCCGGGAAAACGTCCTAAAAGATCGAGGGCAACTTGGAAAAATAGCTCATCTGGTATTTCAATGGGCTAAAGGGTACCAACAGGCTCCAGCGCAGGTGTCCTATGACGCTAGTGGAGGTCGCATGGCGCAACGTGCTGTCACCGAGAACGTTGGAAGCCATGTCAAAATAATCGTTGGCGAACGTGGTCATACGTGCGTGACACCCTTAGATATCCCGCGGTGGGTGCATTATGACGCTGAGCCAAAACTTCCGAGTGAAGATGTGCAGGAACAACGAGCAAAAGCACAGCATCATCAGGAAGGGCGTTGTAGCAGTGCAAGATGCAGTGAATACGAACACCTGTAAGAAGTGTCGGAATGCGGAGATTCCAGACCATCAATAATATGGCGCAAAGAGGAGCCGTGGCGTCGTTCAGAAGAAATGTTGGTAAAGGATGTATATAAGAGAACAGGGGCTTCGTGCCGGCCTTTCAGCATTTTAGGGGGGATCAACTGGGTGATGGGACAAGCAATCGGAGTCCTTGTGAAGTTTCTCGGATCAATAGAATACGAAAAAAGTGCACTCTTGTAAGGGCAGCACCTAGCGACGAAGACATCCCGTAGGGTCCCTAAGCGAGGATGGTTAGCCAACGAAAATGATGGTCCATTATAAGTGAAAAGTGTCTACCATACAGATATGGTCGAAATTTCGCAAGCCCCAGATGCGCTAAGCACTTGCATCCTGTGATTGCGTTATTTTGTTCCGAGTGCGGCAATAGTCAGCTTGCGTATGCGGCGACGCTGCGTATTCTTTGTTGATGTTTCGCCAGCACTGTGCCTATGCCGGGGCCATTAGCATCAGTATGAAGCTCCGTGGTAACAGTTGGGTCGAAGTGTGCCAGGACTGGTACATTGGTAAGAATGGCAACTAGTCACGAGAAGGCGATTTTTGTTGTTGGCCCCACGTGATTTCGACATCATTTTTCAGTAAGCAGGTTGGAGGACAGGCTACTTCAGCTAAACTCTCAACAAAACGACGAAACTATGAGCACAGTCCCACAACACTTCGAACTTCTTTGGCTAAGAAGGGTGTGAGGAAGTCGCGAACTGCTCAAAATTTCGTAGGATTTGTTTGTACGCTCGCCGCATTACCAAAATGGCCAATCATGCTGATTTGCCGTTGTACAAAGTGTCATTTGGACGAGTTAAGTTGCAGGTTGGCATGCCAAAAAAACTGAATCTGTGTAGACAGATGGGAAAAAAGCTTTTGAATGTAGTCGAACAAAGAATAACACCGTCAAGACATCAGAGGGAGATGGACCACTTCATTTCTCAAAGGAGTGGGTCCTACTTGCGCTCAAAAATCGCGGGAGCGAACATAATTCAAACGGCATCACTTGAAACTAATAAAGTCCTTGAAGAGTCATCCAGGCCACCTTTTCTGTGTGTCGGTCATCTACAGCCATCTGCCAGTAGCCTTAGTGGAGGTTTATCGAACATAAATGTTTAGTGCCGTGGAAGCAATCGAGTGCGTCATTTATGTGTGGTAGACAATACACATCTTTTTTGTTAATTTGATTCATATGGTGGTAGCAAGACAGAATATGCAGCTATAGTCCTTCTTTCCAACAAGTTCAACGAGTAAGAACCAGGAACTGAATGAGGGTTAGTTGATTACTGTTAGTTGTTCTAGTGTGGGCAAAGCTTGCAAAGGACGTAGGAGGACGTAGCCATTGTGTTGGGAAGGAGGTCAAATTGGTGAACAATGTGCCTACTTTTTGCCTGTTCGAAGCGAGAACATTTGTCTATGACCGACTCGACTGCGAAGCAGTTCTTACGCAGCCGCGAATTGAAGACACAATTGGCAATTTCTTTCACGATGTCTCCGACTTTGTACTCCTCAAGCACATCCTTGTCAAATTTGTGGCACAAAGCCAACCCGTCCTGCATATACGCGATGTACGGCTCTATGGATGTCTGGGCACGAGTCGTGAGCTCCTTCTTTGCGGCCACTTGTCTTCCGATGGGTTTCCCAAATAAAGAGAACAATTTCTGCTTGCTGAAGTCTCAGCTAGTTAACGCCTTTCGATGCGTCTCATACCAGAGTATTGCCGCACCACCCAAGTAGATGATGATGAGCAATACCAGCGTCCAGTAGGCACCCGCGTCAGAGTGGTGAAGTCAGCGACCCTATTAGTGCTACCCAGATACTCCCCACTGTGATACCAGTTTAACATTGTGTACGAGTGCCAAAAACGTACTGGTATCACGCTGGGGACGCTGGTTTTCACATTATGGAAGATTTGATACCTGACACGCGGTAACCAATCACTAGCCTGTCACACCAGAAAACTATGCTTCATCATTTCATGGTTGGTGCACTACCAAGCTGAACATTTATTACTGTAAATAAACAAACTCAGACACTAGCATAAGTACTTATATTTTATATAAACATACAAGGCTGATGCACACACTATTGTCACTTATTAGTAATCTACTCTGTCGTCCGATGTACATGTCTGACGAGGGTTATTCTTCATCACTGGAGGCTATCCATAGTCTAGGTGCGTTGCTCGTAGACTCCTGGGTTCCGCTGTCATATTATGCATTTTTCTGAAATAGAATTTCATTTATTGGAGTTCATCAATTTCAGTACATGATGAGTATTCATGTGACATTGTGATGTTACCGCGCTGCACATATTCTTTATAATAGTTAGCTTTGAATTCATCTTTCAGCCGTGTAATTTGCGGACACAGCATCGCACTCACCCACACATATAAGCAGTTGTGGTAAACTAAGCTAATGGTGTCCTTCTAAGCAGTTTGTGTTTACTTCTATGTCCGTTCAAATTGTTACTACAGCTGTTGCTAAGGTGAACATGATTTTACCAGAAATGCTCACATTTTATGACGAAAAATGAAAGTTATTGGGTTACACAATGTACCTTGCGAGTTAAAAAACTCCTATACATCAGAGAATAACAGCAGTCACATCGTACATTAATTTTCGCAACACTTCAACATAAAAGTGAACACCTCATTCACACATCAATGGCGAGCTTTGGAATACACCTAAAATGGTGTTGTTAGCATCACGAAAACAATTCAACAAAACGCTGAAATATAGGCTGCCCCCCACTTGCATTATTATCGATTATTCATCGTCTCATGCATAGACGCCCAAATTATAATTTAGAGACGGAAAAATATGCAAGCAAAAACTATAAAGTAGAAAAATTGTGTGACTTGCGCAGGTGCCAGGAAAGTTCTCTTATATCATGATATCGGGAGTGCACGCTCACTGGAGCGTGGTTCTTTTAGAGACCACTTGTTTGCGAAGTTATAATCAAAGCTTATTTCCACGCCCTTGTGGTGGTACAGACTGATACGGAAGAGTTGGTCACTGATGTGGCTGAAAGTGAACCATCGTTTGCTCTCTGTCGTTCTTTTTTGTCATTTTTTCTCACAACAAAAAAAAGTTAATCCGACATCTTATGCCTTCTAGTTCCGCACCAAAACAACTGACGCCAGTACAACAGGGTTCGCTCAAATCTGTTGACGCAGCCATCGCCTTTATGGTCTACCACCCCAATACAGTCCCCTGGCAAGTTCAGCGAGGAAACTGTTTTCAGCGACCCTATTAGTGCTACCCAGATACTCCCCACTGTGATACCAGTTTAACATTGTGTACGAGTGCCAAAAACGTGCTGGTATCACGCTGGGGACGCTGGTTTTCACATTATGGAAGATTTGATACCTGACACGCGGTAACCAATCACTAGCCTGTCACACCAGAAAACTATGCTTCATCATTTCATGGTTGGTGCACTACCAAGCTGAACATTTATTACTGTAAATAAACAAACTCAGACACTAGCATAAGTACTTATATTTTATATAAACATACAAGGCTGATGCACACACTATTGTCACTTATTAGTAATCTACTCTGTCGTCCGATGTACATGTCTGACGAGGGTTATTCTTCATCACTGGAGGCTATCCATAGTCTAGGTGCGTTGCTCGTAGACTCCTGGATTCTGCTGTCATATTATGCATTTTTCTGAAATAGAATTTCATTTATTGGAGTTCATCAATTTCAGTACATGATGAGTATTCATGTGACATTGTGATGTTACCGCGCTGCACATATTCTTTATAATAGTTAGCTTTGAATTCATCTTTCAGCCGTGTAATTTGCGGACACAGCATCGCACTCACCCACACATATAAGCAGTTGTGGTAAACTAAGCTAATGGTGTCCTTCTAAGCAGTTTGTGTTTACTTCTATGTCCGTTCAAATTGTTACTACAGCTGTTGCTAAGGTGAACATGATTTTACCAGAAATGCTCACATTTTATGACGAAAAATGAAAGTTATTGGGTTACACAATGTACCTTGCGAGTTAAAAAACTCCTATACATCAGAGAATAACAGCAGTCACATCGTACATTAATTTTCGCAACACTTCAACATAAAAGTGAACACCTCATTCACACATCAATGGCGAGCTTTGGAATACACCTAAAATGGTGTTGTTAGCATCACGAAAACAATTCAACAAAACGCTGAAATATAGGCTGCCCCCCACTTGCATTATTATCGATTATTCATCGTCTCATGCATAGACGCCCAAATTTATAATTTAGAGACGGAAAAATATGCAAGCAAAAACTATAAAGTAGAAAAATTGTGTGACTTGCGCAGGTGCCAGGAAAGTTCTCTTATATCATGATATCGGGAGTGCACGCTCACTGGAGCGTGGTTCTTTTAGAGACCACTTGTTTGCGAAGTTATAATCAAAGCTTATTTCCACGCCCTTGTGGTGGTACAGACTGATACGGAAGAGTTGGTCACTGATGTGGCTGAAAGTGAACCATCGTTTGCTCTCTGTCGTTCTTTTTTGTCATTTTTTCTCACAACAAAAAAAAGTTAATCCGACATCTTATGCCTTCTAGTTCCGCACCAAAACAACTGACGCCAGTACAACAGGGTTCGCTCAAATCTGTTGACGCAGCCATCGCCTTTATGGTCTACCACCCCAATACAGTCCCCTGGCAAGTTCAGCGAGGAAACTGTTTTCAGTGACCGCAACCCAAACTGAGCATGACAATGACCCATTCGCTGCCATACCTTGCATCGTCAACATGCCTTGCACGTCAAACCCATGGTGATCCCCGTGAGGATGTGGATTACTGGTTGGACCACTGCGACCATCAATGACTGGGACACTCACCTTATGTTTAAAAACGTCCACATCTCCCTCCTTCATGAGGCGAGAGTGTGGTACGAAAACCGCAATGCTGAATCTGTCAGTTGGCAGGAGTTCCATCCGCTACTGCTTGAGGCTTGCAGCAACCCCGAGCGGAAAAACATAGCGGAGCAGGCACTCTCTGCACGATTTTAAATGTCCAACAAGAGTTCAACATGTTTGAAATTTCGCGACTGTTCCGACGGGCTGACCTGCCTGTAGGAACAGTCATTTACTCCTCACGTTAGTAGTATGACTGCTAGTCTGAGGCGTAAACGAACATCTTTTCACAGGCATTGTGCACAACTCACCAAGAGCAGTGTGTGAGTTCGTCCGTGAGGCAACAATCATAGGGCGCATGCTTCCGCAGCGGTTATCTCAGCATGAGCGATAGACTGCCTTGTCCGCTGCGAGCTCGCTTGTGCCTGAACGTGATGACAGGGAGATCCTTACAGAGCTATTACGGCAAGTTGTCCGAGAGGAGTTATAGAAGTGTCATGCAGTGGCACCACCGAGAGTCCTAGCTATGAACGACGTCAATCGCCCTGAAGTCAGAAAATAATCTATCTCTGACTACTATCCCGAGCCGAACATCCCACGCTATTCTACGCAAACACTCTAGGGGTCTCTACGCCATCTATGGCCTGTTGATTGCATCGACCTGGTGAGACTTTTTGACGTTTCCGAAGTTAATCTACGACCCATCTTTGCAGACCAACTATCATCCTGGGCCGCAGAAATCCACTGCATGGCGTGCTCCTGACAATCGACATTTCTGCTACCACTGCGGTGAAGCTGGACACGTGTACCTCGACTGCTACTACCGAAGAATATGCTTGCGCGGATTCTGCTCGTATGCGCGTTGTCCATGCTATGGTGAGTGCCCACATGAAGTTAAATATACTTAGTAGATAGTAATCACCCTCCTGGTCGTCAGCGATGAAAACCATGTTCAATTAATACGTCGGCTAACACCAACAAACAACGTCCGAGCAGCCTTTGAGTTTACTTGTGCCAGTGCCTCAAGTCCACGCCAGGAAAAATGAAGACGCCGACCTTTGTGGCTGAGGCCGCTGTGACGCAAACTGACAAATATGCTCCGATGCTACCGGTCACGTGCGCATTACGTGCCGGAACAAGCCCAACCCTCGTGCACACGAGCGGCATTTATTTTTTATTTTTTGTTGTTGTTTATCCAATACAACACTACCCTGATATGAAATGTGGGGTTTACCATCCCAAAACCACCATATGATTATGAGAGACGCCGTAGTGGAGGGCTTCGGAAATTTCGACCACATGGGGTTCTTTAACGTGCCCCAAATCTGAGCATACGGGTCAACAACATTTCTGCCTTCATCAGAAGTGCAGCAGGCGCAGCCGGGATATGAACACCACCCTCGTTCATGACGAGTGAACCGAAGAAGTTCTGGCGCTACTTTTCAAAAGATCATCACAAGCTTTCACAGAATAAATTACGTGATCACACCTTCATTGGGCCTACATCCATAGCAAATGAGCTCAGTGTGTTCATTCAAGCAGTATTTACGAGAACCGGATCTTTCTCTTCATTTCCGTCACAAGGCGTCGATGTGGCGATGAAAGAAATATTGGTAAGTGAACAAAAAACTTCTTACGTGTACTGCGCAAGTAATATACTGAGAAGCATTCTGGTCCTGGCCATATCGCAAACATTTCTCCGCAGATATACGCGGGTTGGTTCTCAAAATTTCTGCGCGAAATTCACGCAGTAAGTTTGAAAACATCATCTATCCCTGATGACTGGTGCTGTGCAAATATTGTGCCAATCCACAAATCTAATTACAGACCAGTGTCACTCACGAGCACGTGTTGCAAGGCTTTGGGGCAAATTATTTACAAAGCATTGTTACACACCCTGAATAAAACAGCCCTTTGTCAACGCCGACATGGTTTCAGGTCTGCATGGTAAACCGTGGCACCATAACACTATTAACGCATGGTATTGCTGACGAACGTTATATAGGAGGTCAAATCTATGTGATTTTATTTATTTATCGAAAGCGTTTGGTTTTCTTCCTCAAGTTGACTTCATTACAAAACATTGCGCAGATGGTATTGACAGAGCCGCTGTGTCTTGGATTTCATGCTAACTAACGAATAGAAAACAATGTGTCACTGCGAATTTCACTAATAAAGGTTCGCGACCAACCAAACCAACTGCGAATTTCACCTCATAAGCAAAACTGAGTGTGTCTTCTGGTGTACCCCATGGATTGGCGTTAGAACTCATGTTATTTCCAATATGATATAACCGATATACAAGAGTGTGTCCATCCGGGTGTACAGATACGTTTGTTTGCAGACGACTGTGTCATTTA